GCGATGTTGGTCAAATGTAGAAATGCTTCAAAACAGCAAACCACATTTTCGACTATCAAGTTACATTTCGTCTTGAATTCTGTTTGCAGCACTCGCAGAACTGTATATATAGGAGCATAGTACCTTTTAATGTCCAGAAATTTGATGCTATATGCAGGAAGTTATCCTTTTTGGGTCCTTTACGTAGGTTTTAAGTAAAAAAGCAAATTTTTAATCTTTGCACTACAGTGTATCGATAGATTTGGCAATATATTTTTCAAATGCGTATTGCGCCGAGATGAAAATCTCTTTAGGCAATTAATTACGTTTTCGATTATACAGCGTGCCAATACCTTCCAGAAATGCATCACTGACTATGTATGACAAAAAACCTGTTGAATCTTAAAAGCATCTTAAAAAATTTGGTCTCATGGCAACTGGCTTTTACACTGACGGCCTTCAATAATTTGCCCAGCGATGGCCGAAATGACGGATAAATAACTAAATAACCCATGGTCAATTCGAAAAACGAACCATACAAGATTGCCCAAATACTACATACATATGAGAACATGGGGAGACGCATATATTTTTACTGTTCACGCTTTGTAAACTTCGAAAATTATCAGTAAAACGTCGTCGGCTAATAATAAAAAAGAACGCATAAAACCAGTTATTTCTGTGAAAATCAAGTCAACTGGTTATTTAATTAATGTCTCAGCTCTTAACTTATTTCTTCGACGCCGCGGAATTGGGATTAAGGCCTCTTACAAATAAAAAAAATGCAATTACAAATACAATTACAAATTTAAGTATAAAAAATTCATTGATTTTATATGATGTAGGATAGGTTGCGCCATCCTCTGAATATAGTAACTGTTAATCTAAGACTTTCCTGAACGGCGATTTAAGTTCCATGTAATCATCTGCGTTACCGATTGATCGACTGATTAATTGCATTATAAGTAGTATGCAAATTAATTCGTACATCACTGATCATTTAAATTTACTTATTGCATCTGAATAGTCTGTTTTTTTGCAACGAAATTATTTAAAATGAGAATGGCGGTGTCACCACATATGAGATGCTCAGAGAAAACAGTTCTCAATAATTCAAAATAGTGATTACGGAATGCAGGCTTTCAGTAGTTGGATATAATGCTTATGTTCTTCTAGGCTGAACATTCAAATCACAGGGGTGACTCTTCTACTCTGCATACCAGCGAAGTTAACTTGCGTCCTATACAAATCCTAATTGTTTCTTGTACATCTGGATTTTGTCTACCTGCAATTATATTATAGATATACTTCTAATATTCCACTCCAGAACTGACTTCTACAGCAACTAAAACAGTCTAGTGCATCTGTTTACTTACCCGCATCCAGTAAATTGCGTGCAACTTAATAAGACCTTCAAGGTTAATCTGAACGACTGGTTGTCCGTATTCTCTAATAATTACAACATTTTACTTTTGTTTGAATGATTTGAAGCTGATAACTGCATCAACTATTTACATTCAGGTCTCACAACAAGCTTATTTTGCTGTTTCCTTGTAAAGTTCCAATGAGAACGGTGTGAAAGTATGCTTGCTCCAAACCAAGCTCACGCTGTGGCTGATCAACAGCAGATCATGTCTGCTAACAAACTACCTGGCTTCTTCTTCCGAAAGCGCGTCGAAAGAATTGATTGGAGACGCTTGGGTAATTGTCTGCTTTCCTCTATAGACTTGCTTCAAATTTTAGCCTCTGTAGATGTCTGCCAGGTTGCCAGTCAGATGGACATTGATGCGTTGCAGGACAATCTTGTCAGCGTAGCATTTTGTGACATTACTTCAGAGTTGGTGAGTCTTTTGCCTTTAAATGAGTTTCTGACGACCTGAAACTCTCTCTCTCACAACAGGATACACGCTATGTGGACACAAATTTTATAAAGCTGTTTCAGCTGGCTCAGCTTCTGATTGAATACCTTCTCGTAAGTTCTTGCCCCACGTTTCGTTAATTCTTTAAATAACTCTTTGCAAAATGGGGTGATTGTGAAAATATTTTGAAGGAGCGCTGGCTTACTTAGCAACACACTAGTAGTAATCCAAGTCTTGACTCTAATTAGGGCAACTTAAATTTCATAGCGCATTGGTTTTCTCTTTAAAGGTGTTCTAAAATAATATGTTTATCGGTTTAAGTAGTTACCGTGTAGCAGAGTACCTTGGCAACCCTTCTCTATCCTCCCTCCTTTTAACTTATATGACCATTTTCAAGACTTGCTTTTTCATATTTTTAGTACTCTCAAGAATACTTGACTAGTGGTTTAGAGGCTGTCAAATTGGAAAACGAAAAACTGAAGAAGGTGAGATTATAGGCAACTTGTTTTTGCTTATACTTTCTCCAAGTCGTACAGGCTACTTTTTTTTCATTTCACGCCATTTGTATCATATACATCAAGACAATCAAAACTTACAATGGGATGCCTTGACCTAAACTTTCAGGCTGCATGTTGGAATATTGCCTTGCGAATTAACACATTGCAAACTGATAGATATAGTACAGCCAAAGTTCAGCAATTTCCTGTCATTCGTTGTGAAAGACACGCTCGAAGATTGGAATAACGTCTAAACTTTTGTTTCTTCTGGTTACTTCGCATTGAATTTTGCGACACATTCTTATTCGATCCGTCTAATTGTATTTTTAGTGACTTTAGGCCTATTGTTAAGTTCCGTTGGATACTTCAAGTAGATGTCAGAGAAGTATTCAGGCTGATTTATTGAGATTATCGCGATTCCACAGGTCTTTACTCCTTACTAGCAGCCTTACTTACTATAGACTTGCACGGGGTCCTTAGATCTATTGGTTCGGTTTTTACGTAAGTACAGCGCCGCGCATTTCGTAACTTTATTGAAAGGAACCCGACTAGTTTGCGACAGCCTCACACATTATGCTTCTAACTTGATGTGGCCGTCCCAGTTTTAATCTTGAACATCATTTCGCTGGCTAACCGAATCACCACTGGTACTGTTTTTCAGCGAATTAAAAACACTCTTGATGCCTTTTGCCGGACTGTTCCTCCTGCCTTGACGAGTTCCGCTAACAGTGACATTTTGGTCGTCGTTACTGACGGGGTCCACCGTGTGCCCAACAGCACGGTGGGGGCAGGAGCGATGAGTTGCGCGTTAAT